ACCGCGCGCATAGAGCGCCGGGAAGCCGCCGGCTCCGAGCGTCCCCCTCCGCGGCCCCCGAAGCAGCCGCCTCAAGCTCCGGAACCCTAGGGTCTCTACCCCCCACCCGGTCCGCCTCTCCGGCGAGATGCCGCTGGGCCCCACCGCCTGCCCCGACGCAGCCGATGGAGAGGAGGGGTAAATTCCTCCGCCCCCCGGCCCCCGACGACGCCGCGGCCGCCGGCAGGAGCGCCACGTTCCCCGCCGCCGGGGACACGGGCCACACCAACCTCACCTCCTCCTCGGGCTCCTCCTCCTCCTCCACCGTCACGGGCGACCCTCTCGACTTCCTCGGCCAGATCCATGCGGCCTGCAAGCGCCAGAGGCCCCTCGGTGAGCTCAGCCACACCCTAACCGTTGCTTCCATCTAGGGTTATGCATCTAGTTTAACGTCTGTCACATGCAAATCGAACCAAGTTAACACGCAGTAGCTTCAGGACACGGGAAATGAACCTGCAGAGTAGATCCTGACTGTTAGTGCTAGCTCTACTTTTGTTTGCGGATTGTGAGCTGTGATGTGCTTATTTTGTAAGGCTATGTCAAAAAGACGTTCTAGAAAGTGTATCAATCGGTGTGGCAAATTAGATTGAAGCGAGATATTGTTTGTTATCCGAAGGTTGTTATATCACATTTCCTCTCAGTTGCTTTGCAATGCAATTGTATATTCACTGCAGCTTGATTAAGGAAAAAATGGTTATCCAAACACCCTATGCGTTGCTTCCATCTAGGGTTATGCATCTAGCCTAACGTCTGTCACATGCAAATCGAACCAAGTTAACACGCAGTAGCTTCAGGACACGGGAAATGAACCTGCAGAGTAGATCCTGACTGTTAGTGCTAGCTCTACTTTTGTTTGCGGATGGTGAGCTGTGATGTGCTTATTTTGTAAGGCTATGTCAAAAAGATGTTCTAGAAAGTCTATCAATCGGTGTGGCAAATTAGATTGAAGCGAGATATTGTTTGTTATCCGAAGATTGTTATATCACATTTCCTCTCAGTTGCTCTGCAATGCAATTGTATATTCACTGCAACTTGATTAAGGAAAAAATGGTTTTAAAGTTTCAGACTTGAGCTCAGTTTTAAAATCCTAGAAATTAGTTTGATGTTTTTTTTTTGTTTTTGCAAAATTCCTATGTGGTTTGCATCTCAGATTTCCGTCTATATGGAATCTAGACCTTTTCTTCTCATGGATTATATTAATTTAGATTCTGTCTATACGGAAGCTAGACTTTTCTTTAGATGAATTATATTAATTTAGATTCCGTCTATACAGAGTCTAGACCTTTTCTTCACATACTTTTTTTTTTGAAATAAATGAAATATTGTAATGTTATATGTGGAATTTTAACATAAAGCTGAGTTATCGTCCTGCTAAAAAAAACATTTTTGTGGTAGGCCCTGTTCCTGGTAAGAATTACAGTTAAACTGTCTTTCCGATTCTATTCCCTGACCCTGCTACAGAGAAAGATGCTCGTTTCCAACCGAATTTGTCTAAAATGTGTTGTCATCTTGTTTTAACTTGAACTTGCTTCAGGTACTACAACACAGCGTGCAACTCGTATCCTGTTGCCTCGAGGTGAGGGGCCGGCGAAAGCTGGTACCAGCCCTTCTGTTAGACAGAGTTCTGAAGGAATGGCTATGCAGAAGCAGAGAGGCGTGCTGGCGGCCTCCAGGTTGCAAAAGGTGTCTCCTGATCAAAAGGATGTTAACGCTGGTGCAGGAGTACTGGCATCAAATCAAAACGACATGTTGTCTACACCTTCCATGTTGAGTACTATCACTGATACCCGCAATCAGAATGCTGGTCAAAACGACCAGCAGAAGAATGAAATGGATCTGTTTGTGAACAGGAATAAGTCGTCGTTAGATGTTTCTTCTTATAAGATCACATCTCGAAATGCATCAGTTGGCGATTCACACTTAACTTCTCAGGGTAAGATTCCTTTTTTGACTCTGGCTTTTTTGTAAAGTTAAATGCAGACCTGTTTCTGTATTTAGTTACCAGTTTACATTGCAGGTGAGAATGTAGGAGTAACCACTGACAGTAGAATGGACAGTATGTTGTCTTATCTGCATTCTGTTTCATTGTCAGCAGGAGATAATTATCATGTGGCTCAAGCAGCACATGATCAAGGCGGGAAACATCAGAAGCTTGAGCTAGCTGGTGCATCAGTTGAGATGGATGTCAAGTATGATGCAGCAACTTTGCCTCAAAAAGGGATTGAAGAAGCTTGTAATCAGAATCGAGAGCCAATGACCCGTTGCTCTGTCGTTGGTTCTTCAGTTACTGCTGTATCACTACATTCAGGGCAAAATACACGAGTTCCTCAGAGTAACCAATATGCTTCGCCAATGCAGATGCCTGAATGTACAGTGGAATCATCTGCAGCTATACCAGGTAGTGTCCCTCCCAAACAGCAAGAAGCTGCAATGCCATCAAGTGTTGGTGATTGGAATCCTAAAAACCGTCAGGTTCCTAATACAACAGACAAAGCTGCCCCTGGCAATGGAGGTTTGCCATCCCGAGGCCAAGGGTTATCTGCTAATGAACAATCTACGTCTGCCAAGGATGGGGGTACTTCGCAAGCAAACAGGGATCAGAAGGAGCGCCGAAAAAAGGGTTATGATCCTGAACATTTCTTTAAGGTGAACGGGAAGCTTTATCAGAAACTTGGTAAAATTGGATCTGGTGGCAGCAGTGAGGTTCACAAAGTTATATCAATGGAACGTGCAATCTACGCCCTGAAAAAGATAAAGCTTAAAGGTCGTGACTACCCGACAGCATATGGCTTTTGCCAAGAAATCGGTTACCTAAATAAGCTGAAAGGAAAGAGTAACATCATACAGCTAATTGATTACGAGGTACTGGTATTAACCTTATCTCTACTAGTTTTGGGCTGCATATAACTTGATACTTGTACACAGCATCTCTATTGAGTTATCGGACTCATTTTCTGTGTCCTGGGAGTATTTTATTAAATGCAAAGGGATGCTATGATATTTTAGTTTATTTATTATTCCGTGCAGAAAATTAACTTCTATTGTCTTTGAAACTGGAAGCTTCTTGTTCCCTCTGCTCCTTGTATTGTCTAGAACTTCTCTCATAACTTTTGCCCTTCAGGTGCACGCATAACAGAATCATGTCCTTTGAAATTTCCAGTGCTTGATATTTTTTAAACTTCCATACAATTATGGTTAGGCTAGCACCAATGAAACTGGAAAAAACCCAGCTAGCGGAAAGTTAGCATCTTTTCTTATCAGGAGCCTACTTTGCCTGTGATTATTAAAATTTCAAGTTTTCAATCTGTCTTGCTGTGTGAAACCTGATTAAGAACAACTATGGATTGCCATAAGATATGCCACTCATCTTATTAGTTTACAGAGGGAGTAGTATTTAGCGGCAGCACTGTGCACAGGATACTTTCACTGTATAGAGGAAATATTATCTAATCTGCCTAAGGCTTTTGGCATGTACCAGGTCACTGATAAAAATTTACTTAAAGAAGGTCCTATCTCACCTCGAGATGGAAAAATTAAGGATGATCAGTACATTTACATGGTCCTTGAGTTTGGCGAAATTGATTTAGCACATATGGTTGCTCAGAAGTGGAAGGAGAGAAGCAACTCAAATATGAAAATAGATGAAAATTGGCTGCGGTTTTATTGGCAGGTAACCTTTATTTAATTCGAGTTAAGTAATAGCATAAGGCTTGAGTAGAGGACAATTAGCTAACTATGAACTAGAATGTAGGTGGATACCTTTGATGCAAGCTTTTCTTCCCAATCTTCAAATCAACATTAAAAAATTGCTGTAGTTGGCTCGGTGAACCAAATCTTGTTAACTTATTTTAGAGTATGTTATCAATTTATCTCAGAAATGTTGTTCCAGATTTTTAATTGCATTGCCTCTTGCCAAACTGCTACACAATTTTCCATTGTTCATTTGTATGTGTCCTGCTTAGGTTAATGTTCACGCATTCTATTGAGTTACTGTGCTGTTAAAGTTTGTACTAAGCCTCAATACATCTTCTGTGCAATGTAGGTTAATATTTTATACTGATAGAGCTGAAAGTAATGTAGTCGACTATGATATATTCCATAATTATTGGCATGTGCAAAATTTTAATCATCCATGTGTTTATTTGGCTCTGTTAAACATATACTTGCTCCGTCCCTGAATGTAATGTGTAGTGTGATTCATGAGACGAGGCTTTGACCAATAATTAATTGATTAGTGTGTGGTTGTGTATGTGATATAAAAATGCAATCATTCTAATAACATCAATTGTGTCACATAAACCACATGTCTTTGTTGGCCCAAACCTTCTCTTAACGAATCAAAATACACCTTGCATTTCCGGGGACGTCGGTTACTAGAACTTGTACCTGCATTATTAGTAATGAATACGTTCAGATAAGTGGTTATTTTATTCTGAATTTCAAAAATCCTAGGGCCTTCTCAAATTTACCTTGTTTTGTGGTTCAGCAAATGCTTGAAGCAGTCAATACAATCCATGAGGAACGGATAGTGCATTCCGATCTGAAGCCTGCAAATTTTATGCTTGTGAAGGGATCA